TGCCACTGGAATTTCTTTGTGTGCGTTCCACCTTTTGCTCTTGTCAGTGAAGTGATATTGCTGCCTTCCGTGCGTTTCATGATTGCTTGAATCACTTCATCAGAGGTCTCTATATCTTTGTCTCAGTGAAATTCTAACACAGTCAATGTGAGAATTTCATAAAGATTTTATCTTTATGAAATATTCATTTTGGTTGGGGGATTGACAGGTCTTACCCAACTCCCCTAACTTAAACTTGCATCAATGATAAGGGGCTTAAGGTTAAATCCTGGCCATAACTGTAATTCCTTAACCTAAGTCCTTCTACCTCTGAAGACTGCAGGTACCGCCAACCATGTCTATAGAAGTTCTTCTGAACCCTAAATCGCCCCAATCTTAAATTGACAAGTAACATAACCCTTACAGCAATCAATTCTCGTGTTGTTCCCTAGTTTAAAGGCAACGATTTAACATAAAGCAAGTCTCTTCCTGGAGACTGCCACCTGATAATCAATGTCAATTTCATCCAGCCTGTGCCACAAAATTTATAACAGGTTTTCCACTCTTTTTTCCAGATGTGCCGTGGTTACCTACACACCGAATGTCAATACTCTAAAATTTCAGTGTAATGGCATGACTGGCCGATACGTCAATGTTATCATTTCAGGAAGAGCTGAATATCTTCAACTTTGCGAAGTACAGGTGTTTGGCGCTCCTGTGTCTAACACTGGCCATGTTTGCTTTTAATTAAATAACAGTTACAGAGGCTGAGAAGAGACTTGCGTCCATCAAGTTCAGCCTTTTACACATTGTTTTTTGTGGTTGATCCAAAAGGAGGCAAAATACCCAGTTTAAAGCTCTTCTAATTTTGCAACAAACTAGTAAAAATTCCTTATTAAATAATACCTAAAGCTTCAATAAACAATATTTCAGATATATGAGCCAGAGTATAATTTATTAATGTTCTGCATCACAAATAAGGTCAGTGAGAGTGTGCGCATTAGTGAGTGAAGTGTTAGTGAAGTGTGTGTCACACTGTATGTCTAAGTCACACTGTGTCAGTGAGAGTGTGTGTAGTGAAGTGTGTAAGTCACACTGTATGTCAGTGAGTGTGTTAGTGAGAGTGTGTAAGTCACACTGTATGTCAGTGAGTGTGTGTTAGTGAGAGTGTGTAAGTCACACTGTATGTCAGTGAGAGTGTGTGTTAGTGAGAATGTGTAAGACACTGTATGTCAGTGAGTGTGTGTTAGTGAGAGTGTGTAAGTAAGTCACACTGTATGTCAGTGAGAGTGTGTGTTAGTGAGAGTGTGTGTGTGTAAGTCACACTGTATGTCAGTGAGAGTGTGTGTTAGTGAGAATGTGTAAGTCACACTGTATGTCAGTGAGAGTGTGTGTTAGTGAGAATGTGTAAGTCACACTGTATGTCAGTGAGAGTGTGTGTTAGTGAGAGTGTGTAAGTGTATGTCAGTGAGAGTGTGTGTTAGTGAGAATGTGTAAGTCACACTGTATGTCAGTGAGTGTGTGTTAGTGAGAGTGTGTAAGTCACACTGTATGTCAGTGAGAGTGTGTGTTAGTGAGAATGTGTAAGTGACACTGTATGTCAGTGAGAGTGTGTGTGTTAGTGAGAGTGTGTAAGTCACACTGTATGTCAGTGAGAGTGTGTGTTAGTGAGAATGTGTAAGTGACACTGTATGTCAGTGAGAGTGTGCATGTCAGCGAGAATATGTTTTAGTGAGAATGTTTTAATGACACTGTATGTCAGGGAAAGTGTTTTAGTGAAAATGTGTAAGGGACACTTTGTATGTATGTCACTGACAGTGTGTAAGTTACAGTGTGTGTGTGTATATATGTGAGAGAGTGTGTGTGTAACCATGTAAGACCAGTGTAATCTACAGTGTGAATAAGTAGCGCGTGCTTGGTCTGAGTGAATAGGCAGCTGGTACACAGTATGAGGAGCAGTGGAATTACAATAAGGCAATAAGTAATGTCTGAGGTCATGACTACCAATCTGATCCGTACTCACCCTCTGTTCCCCCCTATTCCAACCATCAGGTATGAAGATGTAGGTCACCAAAAGCGATTGAGAGAGTTAACAGAAAGTAGAGAGTGAAAAATACAGTATGCAAAAATAAAAGTACATCTGGTTGAATCATACAGCGTGCAACAGAAATACACTGTCAACATGATGGTGGCGTGGAAATCAGTATTCAAGCTAAAGTTAGCTCTAAAGTTAGCAGGACAGTAGCGCAGAGCTACAAGATTATGCACCCATCTTCGAGGATTTGCAGACTCTGCCCCCAGGTCTGTAAACATAGTCACTTATTATTTTTTATAAACTCATCAAACTCGTTTATTTCTTCCCTCTTTCATCTTTATTTTCTTTTTGAAAGAGGGACAATATAATCTTTTCTTTGATTTCACACACCGGTCATCTTTTTTTAACCCAACACAACTGAAGTGAAAGCACAGCTTGCATGCAAAACATATTGCCATCAAAATACTATGACACTTACAATGAACTGTGAGCTCAACTCGCTTAAAGAAAGATTTTGCTGGTGCATTCAATGTCTTGTATGGAAACATTGTAATCCTATTTTCTGCAAGGCAATTCCCTAAGAGGGTGCTCATTTCACTTTGTTGTAGACTAAGGATGCTTAAATCAAAGCCACTCGCAAGGTCTTCATTTGCAATAGCAAATACGCCACAGTCACTGCCTCCATCTCACTTTTGACAGCAAATACGGTCAAGTTTTACAACCCCTCGAGCTCCACTAAATAAAGGCCTGTGCAATTTTACCATTTGTTCTTTCAGTGTATTTTGTATCTTAGCTGGCTTTAACGAGTCATACACTGTAAGAGAAGTTCAGTTTTTGTGAGCTACAACCCAATGATTGGACACACGGTGGATTTGTAAGGTTTGCTCACATTCACGTACTTGCACAAACTGATGTGCTAGGAGTATTGTGTCAATTAGTCCTGAGAACAAACGGAAATGTATAGAAATTAAATACTGACACGCAGATATAATGTTGTCCAACCATTTGTTTTTCTGAATCCTCCATTTAGCAGTGTATGTGAGAGAAATATTGTGAATGGTCACCCATTTACCTGAGGGATTTAACTTAACTGCTTTTGATGAAGAATCTTCACTATGCAAGTATTTGCATTTCAGCTTTGGAGCCAAATCTTTGGGATCCTTGGGGTATAGGCCTTCCATATTATTGCAGATTTGTGGAAACCTTTGTCTTATGTGGACACTCAAGCAGGGGAGTCCATGGTTTACAGGTATTTTTAAGTTTTGTGCCCTGGTGCAGATCTTTGATTGAACAATCCAATTCCCCAAGATAGTCTTCATCCTTAATTAAGAACACAGTATCCAAAAGATGCTTTATATTCAGTGTAGCGCTACACAGTAATGTGATTCTCTTTGTTCTCCTGCATGGTCAAAATGGAGTAACAGTATCACGGCAGAACAAGATAGAGCTACTACAGTCTGGAATGTCTAATTCTACCTTGTGGTCAAAATGCAATAAAAAACATTCCAAATCAAAACAGAACAGGGGATTGCTTGAATATAATGGATGGAGCTTTTCCTATCCCCACCATATACTTATGAAAAATGCAGCACATGCTTGTAAGGCAAGAAATGATTTTGCCAGTCCTCACATGTGCACATTGGTACATTTTCAGAAACAAATTACAGTAAAGTCTTGAGCTGTTTGCGACTTGCTTTTCACTTTAAACAGTCTTGCTGTGTAGTTGACATTGGTGAGATCTGCATCAGTACGAGAACTTGTCATTCTGTGCCACACCTGTAAAACAAACAAAAAATTGCAGGAACATCTTCTTTATATCGCAGATAAAATTCTGAACTTTGTGAATTCATTTGCACATACCTGAAAAATAGTTTTAAAAATATATTATTGTGGGGCATCTGGATCCAAGTCTTATAAGCAGATCTCTAATTAACATCTAAGCATAAGTTGAGATGACTTTCATAGCATTTGCTCTGAAAAATAACTTGTCATATTATATAGTAAGTGTGGCAAACCTAGCCACTTGGACATTATTTCTGTACTGCCTCTTTAAGGGTTGCCGGTATGGGGTTCCTATTGTGTGTTCCAGCATGTACTGTAATGCAATGTTAATAATGTGTTGCCTGCCTGGGCTATCTGCCAAACGCAGATAGCTGATTCTCTTCATTTCACGAACGGCACCTTTGCGGGCCGTTCGGGAACCGAACAAAATATAATTTAATAGCCCACACACTTAGAGGCGTGTGGCGCCTATTAACCGATTGCAACAATGTAATTAGAGGCTCTCCTGGGTGGCCGTCGTTCGACTACCGACCATGCGGCGGTCGGCCATCTTGGATCCTTTGTTCCCTCAGCGGTGTTTGGTCGTCGAGCGCGTGGTACTAAAAACGGCTACTCGACGGCACGAACACCGCTGAGCCTCCAGACCGTTCGGGAGGTCCGGGACATTCGGTATTTTGTTCCCTTATATGTAATCGGTATTTTAAGGCTATGTGTTAGTGAATGTGTTTTTCGTGTGGCGTTCGGTTGTTTTAGCTGGGATCTGAGCGGTAATCTCACGAATGATGCGCTCAGACCCCAGCTATCTACCGAACGTCCATTCGTTTAAATGAACCAGATATTCATGGAGCTATTGAATTTAATGTGAATTGTGAGTTCTGCTGCACGGAGGGATAATCCACTTAACGGTATATTCCAGTGGGAGGATCCCTCTCGTGCAGCAGTGCCTGATGGGAGAAATGTCCTGTATTGTAAGTCCTCCATGTAGTCCCCTCTGGGAATGCCCCTGGGAGGGGACTCAGGAAACCCCTTGCATGGGGACTTGTATAAATTGTGGAGCTGAAATAAAAGACCTCAGTTGACTCCCAGCCTATGTGTCGTCTAGTTCTTGGGAAGGAAGGGTTACTGCAGTGCTACTTGGATTATTGTATGCTGATTCCCCTGGATTATCCTTTGTTGTTCCTGTTACCCAGTGGAGATATCGTGGATTATACTGCCTCTCCTCTACAGTAAGCTATAGTAAGTGGGCTATTCCTACTGGGCATTGCTATAAGTAAGGTTAAAAAATAGAAAAAAGGGGGAAATAAAGGTGGGGAGGGGAATTGAGGAGGAAGAGGAGGGGAGCTGACGCACAGATGAGAAATCATATTATGCGCAACCAGAGAAGTCGTCTGAATATCACCGAAAGAGGAGACCTTCGTATGTTCCTTACGAAAATCAAACCAGATATCAAATATTTAGTCTCGCAGCATCAACCTCAAGGATCTCATTAATCACTAATAAAGGTAATTTCTATTTACTTTATTGTTTTCTCATTAAACTTTATAAAGTTAAAAACATTATAAACATGCATTAAGTAGAAATAAAAAGATTTTTGCTGATGACATTACAAGCAGAGTACCCCCCATGTGCAACCATACAAGTCACCTAGAAAACATGTGCTTGTAGTCTACATGTGGGGTTGCATGTGTGGGATGCTGCTAGTGATTCATGTGTGTCAACTTGTTGGTTGAAGGGGGGCTAAGGTGGGTGCAGAGTGACAGGGGGGCTGAGGTGGGTGCAGAGTGACAGGGGCTGAGGTGGGTGCAGAGTGACAGCATGGGTGGTGGGTGCAGACCGGGGTGCCAAGGTGGGTGCACAGTGACAGTGGGGCTGAAGTGGGTGCAGAGTGACAGGGGGGCTGTGGTGGGTGCAGAGTGACAGAGGGGCTGAAGTGGGTGCAGAGTGACCGGGGGTGCCAAGGTGGGTGCAGAGTGACAGGGGGGGTGTGGTGGGTGCAGAGTGACCGGGGGTGCCAAGGTGGATGCAGAGTGACAGGGGGGCTGAAGTGGGTGCAGAGTGACCGGGGGGCTGTGGTGGGTGCTGAGGTGGGGGTAGGGGAGACATGAGGTCTGTACAAAAAAATTCACAAGGAGCTTACCTGTTGTGTTGCTGCAGCTCCTCATCTTCCAGGTGCTCTGCAGGAGAGAGCAGGAAGTGACATCACTTCTCTTCTTCCTCCTCACAAAGAGCAGAGCACTGCACAAGGAGAAGAGACCTGGCAGCAAGAACAGAATAATCACTGCCAGGTCTCACTGAGAGGAAGGGGAGGGGAGGGAAGGTGGGGAGGGTTACTTTCAGTGCAGTAGGTTTTGCGGTAGTTTTCTGGCTGGGTAGATCTCTGATCTCTTCAGTCAGAGAATGGCTGTGCAGCTGGGCGTCTGACTGCCTCGGGCCCTTAGGTCCATGATCAATCTGCCCGAATGCTCAGTCCGCCCCTGTGGACATAGTAGTGTGCAATAATCTGTAGCTCATCTTCTCTAATTTCACACTTGAACTTCTAAAAGTTAATCTTAATGTGCAGCAAAATATTAAAAACCGTAAAGCTGCACCGGCATCAAACTTCCATGATTGTCTAAAAGAAAAAAGAAAACTAAATGAAACAAAACATTCTTACAATAATTAACAATTTTATCGCTCATATATTATATTTCCTATGGAGACTTTGCACTTTTGAGTAGATCTTTGTGCCTCAATGATATTTTATATTTTCTTTATTTGAACCTACAAAATAAAAGATAACTATCTTCGAAAGTTTTTGAGATGACATTTGTAACGGAGCTCACCGTACTGCGACCGAGTACCCTCTGTTGATGGACGCTTCCTAGCTTGCTCCGAGGACCACGAGCACCGCACCGGTCACCACAACCACTGCAGACTCCGCAACCGCCGTAGCTTGACTGGAATCTCGCCGTCTTCCTTCCACCCTGGATCAGCTTCTGTCCTCCAGGACCGTGTGGGAAAGACCTCTTCCTTGCACCCTGTATGAACCTCCAGCATCCTGGACTGTGTGGGGAAGACCTCTCCTCCAAGGAAAGCGTAACAGGAACAGCTCTTAAAAGAGCTAAGTGATTAAAGCTCAAGGGAGTATGCAGAGCATAGCAATCCCCAGTGTGAGTATAGCTGTCCCATCAAATCACGAGACAAGACTATGTGTTGAGGGTCAAGAAGAACTGACTAAAACTTACTTGGGACTAGCCCATATGGTCATGACATTAACATTGCTGTGAATACTCAATAAAATTACAGTCAAATCATAGCAGGCAACATACAGTGACTTATTATAACACAATGGCATATTTTTAAAGGGGTGGGGGAGACAATAATTAACATAAAATATCTCACATGCCTGCAGAATTAGCAATATGCAAATGAACCAGTCTTGCTATTCAAGTAGTGCATATTGCTGTTGCTACCAACAGAGGGCACTAGACAAGCTCCATAGCCAAATCCACCTAGTTGGTAGCAAACCTCAGCAGTACAGGAGAGCAGGCAATACATTTCACAGTACACACACTATAAACAATTACATTACACACACCCTGCACCTAAAAGAAAGCAGGGTTAAAAAACAAAGTAAACCGATGTGCATCTTTGTATAGACACATGTGTTTACTTTGGGCTATGCTGATGGGATGACTGGCACTACCTGACACTAGAGTGGGGGCTCGCCCAGCTCGTCTGATTGGGGCTGTCATGTCCGGGGGTCTCTTTCTGTTTCTTAAGGTCCTGTCTGCTGATCCCATGTAAAAGTGAGGCAGTCGCTAATAGGACTAGGCTGCCTGCTTCCAAGAGAAGCATGGCAGCTGTCTGTAAGAGGATAAACTGGCATGTACAATCTAATGTGCATACCAGTTTATCCCAATACTAGAGACACTGTATGAGCACAAATGTAGTTACGAGACCAGATCAGACCTAACATTTCCTACCCTATGGAATATTACCTAATCTTTATCTGCTAAAAAAAAACACAACAAAATACACCTCTGTGTTATTTGAGAGGATAACTTTCCATTAGCACATGATGCCGTTTCCATCTAAATGCCATGTACGTGTTCACAGCATGTATGTAGATGTGGTATGGCTCATATCCATCCAAAATGCTATGGGCTCAAAAGTGGGTATACCCTAAGAATTCTGGCAAGACAAACATTTTTTATTTATTACATGGATATTGTACAATATATTCTTTACATGTACTAGAGTAGGAAGAGTTTAATGTGACAAATCTTTCCTCCCCAGACGTTGCATGGTTGTTGTGGTCAGAAAATTGTGGAAATATTGTTATATATCTATGAACACCTTTTGATTTATCAGTATCCTGCAGTAGCACCTTTTGAAGTTTCTTTGATGATGTTTTTTTCCTTCTCTCTGGATAACTTTTAATCTGAAATGCATTATTAAAAATATCTTCAATACTACAGGTAGAACACACTTTAAAGTAATCCATATTTAATGTAAAGATGAGTGAATGTTTATCAAGCTCTAAGGCAGTGGATTAACAAATAGTTTTAAAGCCATGAAATTGGTGGCATGCATTATTGTGCAAAAACCTGCAGTGTATCCAAATGCCCGGTGGGCCACGATGACCGTGGGCCGAGGCCGGCAGGGGAGATCACAGGATCTCCCCTACCAGCCCCTGCAGGGCCAGTGCTATCCGAGCGCCAGCCCTGCTGTGTGCCTCCATGGGCCAGTGGGGAGATCAAAGATCTCCCTCACCGGCCCACAGGCACTGTTACAGGCGGACGCAGGCTGGGGAGTGAGAGAGGACCCAGGGAGCTCTAGCCAGCAGCTCCGCAGGGTCCTCTCGCGGGATTCTGAGCATTGCCGCGGTTACTGCAGCAACACTCAGATCTTGCAAGAGTGAACTCTAGCGTGTAGGCTAGAGTTCACTCTCACCACTAGGACCACCAGAGAAGGATGGCAGCACACCCCCCCTCCATGGCAACACGGCTCCCCCCCTCCCAGGCTAAAGGTAAGAAGGGAGGGGGTGATATAACTTTTTTTTTTTTAATTATTAATAAAAAAATATTTAAATTTAAATAAAAAATACATTCACACTCACACTAACAGCCCCCAAACACACACAGCACCCCCAGACACTTCTTTTTTGTAGTGTAGACAAAATAACCCTCAGTGAGTTAACAGACAAAGAAAATTAGAAACCTAGAATGTGACGGCAGATAAAAACACCCTAACACACAGCACCCCTCTTACATACACACACACTGCGCCCCTCACACATACAATACGTTGTAACAAACCACCTCTTTTACAGGTAGGATTGTCACAGATCTTGCAGTAACCACAGCCTTCTAGGGTATACAAAGTCCAGGACACATTCAGCTCGGTTTTCCTTTTTATTTGATAAGAAAAACAGCTGCTTTAAATAACAACAAACAAACAAAATTCCTTGCTGTTACTTGAGCTCTTACTAGACAGAAATCACTATCTGTAATTGGGTGGCTTTCCCACTTACCAATTTTCCAAAAAAAACTAAAATAGCTTTGCAATAAACACGTGATGTTCGCTCTCCTTCAGCTCTCCTTCAGCTCTCCTTCAGCTCTCCTTCAGCTCTCCTTCAGCTCTCCTTCAGCTCTCCTTCAGCTCTCCTTCAGCTCTCCATCAGCTCTCCTTCAGCTCTCCTTCAGCTCTCCTTCAGCTCTCCTTCAGCTCTCCTTCAGCTCTCCTTCAGCTCTCCTTCAGCTCTCCTTCAGCTCTCCTTGCTGGCTTTTCCTCCCCCCACTCTGCAGCAGGCTGATCTCGTCTTTTAAAGGCCTGTCTGCTAATTGACTAGCTACAGGTGAGTGCCAATTAGTTAACTCTTAAGTCAGATCCAAATACTGGTCTGTTACACAGCAACTAGTGCTGTTGGAGCATTGGCCCACCCTGCTCTCCAAATACTCCGCCCCAGGGACCCATACCGTGTTTTGCAGAGCATCAGCAATATATATTGCAAACTCTAACATTTCTCCC